GCAACATACCCAAAGTATGTAAGAAGAAGCCTCAGAATCCTTGCCTCCAAGGAGTAACCTGGTTTCACCTTCTCCAGGACAAATCTGTTTGTTCTCCTAGCAGTTCATGGTATATTCAACACTCTTCTCAGCACCACAGCTCAAAGACATCAATTCTCTTTCTAGCATCCCTAGTCATTGTCCAGCTCTCTGACACATAGCACGCAATTGTGAAGACTATGGCCCAGGTCAGGCGCATCTTAGTCTCCAGCCTGAAGTCGTTGCTCTTCAGTACTCTTAGAGGTCCCTGACAGCTGACTTTCCCAATGTAATTGTTCTCTTGATTTCCTAGCTGCTGGTACCAAGAGTGTTGACTGTGGAAAGAAGCAAACTAAAACTGTTACCTATCTCAATCTCTTCACCACCCATAATGAAGCTGTCAATTGGCCCAGAGTTGAGAATCTTTGCTTTCTTGTTGTTGAGCTTCAATCCATATTGAAGGCTGCAGTCCTTGACCTTCTGCAGCAAGCGCTTCAGGTCCCCCTCAGTTTCAGCCAGCAGGGTTGTGTCATCTGTATAACGCAGGTTGTTGATGAATCTTCCTCCAACAACCCACATTCCTCCTATTACAGCCCAGCATACTGGAAGATCTTTTCTACATACAGATTGAAAAGGTTTGGAGATAGAATACATCCCTGGCAGACACCCTTCCCAATTTTGAACCATGCAGTGTCTCCTTGTTCTGTCTGACAACTGTTTCTTGGTTCAAGTATAGGTTTCACATAAGCACAATCAAATGTTCTAGGATTCCCATTCCTCTCAGAGTCAGCCACATAGAAGAGAATAAAATAAATATAGAATGTAATTGAGAACCAAAATTAATTCATCCTTGACAAAGGACCAAAATCTATTAACTGAGGAAGAAATCACCTAATAAACGATACAGGCAACAGACTAATTAGGCCAAAGGACATCTGAACTACTAGCCCGAGATAAGAGTAACTGGATGGTATCCAGCTATTACTTCTTACTGCTCTGACCAGGAGCACAGTAAAAAGGTCTGAAGAAAGAGGAAGAAATATTGTAGAAAAAAAAAATAACCTGAAAGACCATATTTGTTCTTTCCAGACTGGTCCTGGCTCTATGACCCCCACGAAGAAGGTTGGTGAGAAGAAAAGGGGCCATTCTGCCACGAATGGAGTGATGACCAGAGAGTACACCATCAACATACACAGCACATCCATGGAGTGGGCTTTAAGAAGCATGCCCCTCAGGTACTCAAGGGGAGCTGGGAATTTGCCATGAAGCAGATGGGAACACCAGATATTTGCATTGACACCAGGCTTAACAAAGCCATCTGGGCCAAAACCATAAGAAATGTCCAGTCCCGCATCCATGTATGATTGTCCTCAAAACATAAGGAGGATAAAGATTCCCCAAACAAGCTGTATACACTGCTTACCTATGTACCTGCCACCAATTTAAAAAACCTACACACCGTCAATGTAGATAAAAACTAATAGCTGATTATCAAATAACGCTATAAAACTATAAAGAAATCCACATTTATTGATCTGATGAGACTGATTGAACTTTTGAGATTACAGACCTTAGACCCTCTTCAAGCCTAAACCTGAACCCACCATCAGGGATTAATTTTCACACACACACACAAAATACACAACAACAAACAAAAACAAGAATAAACTCGGTTTTTCAAGTGAACAGGAAGCTTTGCTGGCCTAGTGGTAAGGAGCTGGGCTGTCAGTTCAAAGGCACACAGTTCAAATCTACCAGCTGCTTCATGGGAGAAAGATGGACAATCTCCTTCAGTGTGATTTACAACCTCTGAAAAAACACAGCTGTAAGTCTGTTCTGATATAACATCATGCAACGCCAACAAATTCATAATAATACCAGGGAAGTACATATTCCTCAGTAAAATCAACCACACAAAACCAAAAGGGTAGCATATACCCTCAAAACAAAGATCAGAATACTGGAAGGGACAGGAAATTACAAAGAACAGAGACCCAGGCAGGAAACGGAAAGAATTTTGTTCTATTAAGGGAGCTGTAGCTAAGATCAGGAAACAAAATATGCATAAATTATTTAATGGAAAACTAATTTTCTCTGTAAACTTTCACCAAAATTATAACAATTTTTTAATGGAAAGCATACACAGTCTCTTAAAGAATTGGTTCACATTCAAACATCTCAGGAGGAACCCTATGATCAGGACCTGCGAACGTATTATTAAAAGAACCACACATACACATACACACACGCACACACACACAAATAAAGGAACCACAGTTTGCACAGTACTGTGTGTTTTTAAATAAAGTTTGCACAGTTTGGTGGATGAAGGGAGGAAGGGAAGTAAATGCGAAGGATCAAGGCAAAAAGATGGGGTAATGATGGGCAAGGTTCAATGGTAGTTAATTTTATAAAACATAACACGTGAGAATGATTGTATGAAGCACAATGTAAATGAAGAATAGTGTTAAACACAATGAATATGAACTTTGAAAACAGACCAACAAAAACGCGGAGGGGAAGGAGCACATCTGATCTGACCTGAGACATTAATAAGAACTAAGACTCTGGGAACTAATGAATTTCCATTGAGACGTTTCAACAAAAGGTGCAACATTGGTAATTACTTGCTTTCCTATGTCAAGAAATTCAGAAAACAGCTGCTTAGCCAAACAATTGCAAGAGATTCATACTTGTGTCCATCACAAAAAAAAAGTGATTCAACAGAATGCAGAAACTATAGAAATATCATGAATATCACATGCAAGGAAAAACTTTCTGAAGTTAAATAAAACATAGTTGCAGCATTATACCAACAGGGAACGGTTAGAAATTCAATCTAGATTCAGAAAAGGATATAAAATGAAAGGTGCCATTGTTGATGTCATTATTGATCTTGATTGAAAGCAGAGAATGCCAGAAAAATGTGTTTACTTGTATTTCTGAAAAATGCGAAGACATTCATCTAGGTAAATCATAACAATTTATGGGTTACATTGAAAAGAATAGGAACTCTAGAGCACTTAATTGTGCTCATCAAGAGCCATGTAGAGATTTAGATGCAGTCAGTCAAAGAGAACAAGGATGTACTGGGTGTTTTTAAATAAGGAAAGATCTGCATCAAGGTTTTATCCTTACACCATGCTAATTCATTCTGTACACTGTGCAAATCTGAGAAGCTGAAATATATGAAGAAAAAAAAGTGACATAAGAATTGGAGAAAAATTCACCAACAACATGCATTATGCAAATGACACAACCTTGCTTAAAAGTGAAGAGGACTTGAAGTACTTAGTAATGAAGATTATATTCATATCCATACATGAAAAATCATACAAAAATGTCCAAAAAGGGGCAATAAGAAGTATCATGGTAACCTGAGAAAAGAATTATTTTTGTCAAGGATTTCATTTCACTTGAATCAACTTCCATGGAAGCAGAAATTAATAAATCCAATTATGTATTACATTGGGCAAAACTGATCTGCAGCAGATCTCTTTAAAATATTACTATAGCAAAGACATCACTTTGACCCAAACCCTGGCATTTTCAATTGCCTTCTATGCATGTAAAATCCAGACAATGAATAAAGACGTCTGAAGAAGAACCGATGCCTTGGAATTATAGTGTTAGCAAATAAGGATGACAGAAGAATTGACACCTTCGAATTGTCGTGTTAGAGAAGAGTACTGACTATCCCTTAGACTTCCAAAAGAACAAACAGATATGTCTTGGGGAAGTTGCAGCCAGAGTGTTCCTTGGAGGGAAAGATGATAAAACTCTGTCTCATACACTTTGGACATGTTTTTTGGACAGAGAGGATATTCATTGGAGATAGAAATCATGCTTGGGAAGTTGGAGGGACAGCAAAAGAAAGGAAGACCCTCAACCAAGTGGATTGACACAGTGACTGCAGCAGTGGGCTCAAGTATGTCAGAGAGTGTGAGGATGACACAGGAATAGGGTTCTGATCTGTTGTTCATAAAGTTGCTATGAGTTATACTCAACAAGATCTAACAACAACAACAGCATGGCCTGCTTAAAGCACCAATAAATCTGTGTTGTAGGAAACATACCCAGATTTCTCCTTGAAGGTGAGTTTGGCAAAACTTCATCTCTGGACACCTGCTTAGGAGGGACTTATTGTTGTCATATGCTATCAAGTCAACTATTGGTCATAGTGACACTCTGAACAATAGCTCTAAACCCTGCCCTATCCTGTACCATCCTCATCATCTCTAGTACAATTGAGTCCATTGCTATAGTCTCTGTGGAGGGTCTTCCTCTCTTTTCTTGACCCTTTACCTTTCCAAGCATGATGTCCTTTTCCAAGGACTAACCTCTTCTAACAATACACCCAAAGTATGTGAGACTGTCATGGCCTCCAAGAAGCACCCTGGTTGCACTTTCTCCAAGACACAATGGCAATGAGTTTGAGTTTTTAGGAGGGATACCGACGTTGGAGGAAGTGGAGCCAGAGTGGTCCTTAGAGCCAAGGATGGTGAAGCCTCATATACGTTGGACATGTTGTTAGGAGTGGCTATTCTTTGGAAAAGGACATCGTGTTAGGAAAAGTGCAGAGTCAGTGAGAAAGAAGAATACTCTCAATGAGATAGACTGACACAGTGACTGAGCAATGGCCTCAAGTGTGTCAGAGATGATGAAGATAGCACCGGGTAGGACAGGGTTCAGGTTTATTGTTCATCAGGTGGCTATGAAATACGCTTGACTCAATGGCACTTAACAACAACAATAGCTGGAAAAACACATCATTCTTGGTAAACTAAAAGGTTAGTAAAAAAGATGAAGACCTTGAATGAAATGTATTGCAACATTGAGCTCAATTATGGTACAAATTGTGAAGATTGCAAAAAAAAGCAGATAGTGTATTATTCTGTTACACATCGAATTGACTTTGCAGCATCTAACCTAGACAACAAAATGAACAATGGCAATCCGGAAGATGAGGAGGCATGCATTACCTTGTGGAATCTTGTAAGCAGTTTCTCCAGGCTTCCTGAGATTGTGTAAAATATGATCACTATGAATGTTGATTCCCATTCCCAAAAGAAATAAGAGGACTCCTTGGCAAAAAAAGAGAGGAAGGAGAAGTTAGAAAGATAGTAACTTTGGTGTTTTCCCCACAGCTAAATTCCTTTTCTTTTTACAAATAAATTGCATTTCATTTCAAATGTACAATGCCAAAGGAGGCACACAGTTCAGATCCACTAGCTGCTCCACAGGAAAAGAACAGGCAGTATCCTCTTGTGCAATTTACTGTCTCTGAAAATCCACCAAAGGGTCAGCTATGAGTCAGTTCTAGCTCAATGGCACACAACAACCAAAGACTGGTTTTAATATAACATGAGGAAACATTTTCGTTTTTTAATTTTTTTTTTTTTAGGAGAGCCACTTAGTTTTAAGTTTGTATTAAAGAACTGTGCTCCATGACAGACAAGAAGAGGTCCCTATGTTACACATATGGATTCTGTAGAAAAGTGGTTAGACATTTGTATTTTATTCTAGAGAAACAGTGGAAGGGAAATCCACTAGAGACTTTTGAGATAGATAATAACATAACATTTTTTTAATAAAAAAAGATTCTTTCCTGGCTTCTATATTGAGACAAATGTCTAGACTAGAGGTGAGAAAGAGGGATGATGGGACTATTTATTAGCAGTAGTGTAGGGAGAGATGATGACATTGAGTTCTTAAACTATGGAGAGGGGCGTTAGCTGGCAATTGAATAAGATGACGTCAGATGTACTTACCCAAGCTGAATCGTATATCTGTGTACCAGTCAGAGGTGTACTCAGCACAGTAAACCAGATAGTAGCTTTGAAGGAGTCCATTTCCCAAGCAGAACACAAAGGCTCTGACAATGACTACAACTGGAAGAGGCCTCCCTCTAGTGACAATCGAGTAAATGAACGTCCTAGAATAGATGGAGAGAAAAGTTAGGATTCATTGTTTTAAAAAGGCAAGCAATAGGGAGGAAAGTGTTCAAACAGATGGCATAACAATCCACTTTTAAAAACCATTTTTTCTTCCTCAAACTTGTGGAATGAAATACCACTGGCTGTAGAGAAAGTATTATGCAACTGTTATTCACAGTAACCGCAATTTACTATTAGGTTCACAGCAGCCTCAGGAAGTAAATATCATTCCCACTCAGTACCTAATAAATTCAGTTTTATAAGCCTGGGCTTGGAGATGAGCTTCATGTTAATCCAAAAGTGAAATAAAGCTGCTAATGGGAGAAAGATAAAAGCTGGCTTATCCCAAGCAGCGGTGGAATGGCGTTTGGGTTGTAACCATCTGACCACAAGATTCCCTGTAATGAGCTTTAACAACATGCCCTAGAAATTAGACTGTAGAATTCATCAAGAGAGGCCCTTGTAAATGCTAGGAATTAAAATCTGAAAGAAATAAAAATAAAGAACTTAAGAATCATGCATAATCTTGATGTGCCCCAGAATGTGGTCAACAACCACTGCTGATGTCTCTCAAAAGGACACAATAGAAAACCCCTGATAGAACGAGAGGAAAATTTAAAATAAGCTTCAAAATCATAAGGAAGAGAAGGCTTACAGTCTGAGAGATATTGATAGAACTCCTGGGACTGTGGACTTTTAGCTGTTGTTGTTGTTATGTGCCTTCAAGTAGACTGCAACTCCTAGTCACACTGTGCACAACAGCTCTGATGCCTGCTCTATTCTCACTGTCTCAGACACATCTGACCCTATTACTCCAATTACCCTGTCAATCTATCTCATCCAGAATCTTCCTCTCCTGTGCTGTTCCCTCCACTCTTCCAAAGATGATGTCTGTCCCCACGGACTAGTCCCTCTTGGCAACATGTCCAAAGTATGTGAGACAGAGCTTAAAAAATCCTTGCCTCTGAGGAGAAACTCGGTTTCACCCTCTCTAGGGCAGATCTGTTCTCTTGGCAGTTCATGATATGTTCAATACTCTTCTCCAACACTACAACTCGAAGAAATTGATTCTTCTTGCACTATCTTTAGTCATTGTCCAGCTTTCTGATGCATAGCAAGTAATTGCAAAGACCATGGCCTGGATCAGGTACACCTTATTGTCCAAACTGACATCATTTCTCTTCACCATTCTGGAGAGGTCCTTGACAGCAGATTTTCCTAATGCAATTTATCTTTTCATTTCCTGACTGCTGGTGCTAAGAGTGTTAATAGTGGAACCAAGCAAGCTGAAATTGTTAACAATCTCAATCTCCTCTCCATTTATCATGGCGCTGCCAAATTGGCCCAGTGATGAGAATCTTTGCTTTCTTGGTGTCGAACTTCAATCCATATTGAAGAGTGCAGTCCTTGACTTTCTGCAGCAAATGCTTCAGGTCTTCTAAATTTCGGCAAACAAGGATCATATCATGAACACAAGATGTGGCCAGCAAAGAACATAGCATGAACTACCAAGAGAACTAACATGTCTGTCCTGGAGAGGGCAAAACTAGGCTGCTCCTTGGAGGCAAGGATTTTGACACTCCATCTCACATACTTTTCACATGTTGCCGGGAGGAACCAGTGCGTGCAGAAGGACATCATGCTTGGCCTTCAGTCACACTTTAATCCTGAAACTGAAATTAGCCCTATGACTCAACGTCCAAACAAACAATATACGTGACTGTAACAACGTCTTAGAACAGTCAACCATATAAAATCAAAAGAGATAGGAATGAAAGATAAATGGAAATGAGAAACACAAGATGTGTGAAGAGCATTACTACAATGTGAAGATAGTATTTATTGTTGTTGTTAAATGCTGCAGAGTCATTGATGACACATATCGACCCTATGATCTAAAGTCTTGAAAGCAAAACTTTCATCTTTTCTCCAAGTTTATAGAGTTTCTGGAGGCAAGTTTTTTTTGGAAGTCGATGCCACTCCTGCTTCCAAGCCAGTTTTATTTGGGAGATCCACAAAAACCTACCACGCTCAGGCCCAAAAGCCTTTTCAAAGGTGAGGACAAATCTGATCATCTCACACCCTATTTTTGAGCAAGAGTCACCTTAATCTCAACCTCAAACGAGAAAACACACCTTTGCAGAATCTGGCTGGTCCGCTCATCTTCTCAGCCTGGAAATAGCCCCACCCCGGCAGCCAAAAGCCTTTTAAAAAAAAAAAAAAAAAAAGAATGGACAATCTATTTAAAAAAAGAAAAAATGAGGTGGGAGGTGTGTTCGCTGTTGTGGTGGGGGTTTTGTTTGTTTGTTTGTTTTGTTTTTTTCTTTTTTTTCCTCTGCGATGCACAGCTATTTCACTTGAAGTCATTTAAAAAAATTTTTTTAAAAAGAGGAAAGTTTGAGAGTAGTTGCTTTCTCGGTCTAAACATTCATGAGCACGGGCGGACGGTGGTGGTGTGGTGCGGCCTGTGTCTGTGCGGCAATGGTGCCGGGGTCCTTCAGACCACGTACTGGTATGGGTCTGCCTTTCCTTGGTCTGGCGTGGCAAAGGGGCTGGCCCAGCCCGGGGAGAAGGGGTGGCCAAAAACGGCTTTCGTGTTCATCCATTTGGTTTTTTTAGCCCGTCTTCTCTCTTCCTTTTTCAATTGTTCTTTCCCGTCTCGTCTGTGCAGATGGAGCGCACCTGGATTCCGAACATGACTGATGTGAAGATGAGGAGCAGCCCCTCGAAGCACAGCAAGATGAGGAGGATCACCGTGGTGGGGGGAGAGAAGGAGCTGCACTGTTTTAAAGGTGAAGCCAAATCTGATCATCTCGTATTTGTTATAGAATGTGTATGGACTATAAAATGGAAAATCAACTTGCTCTTCCATTCACAATGAATATATGCTTCATTCGTCGCAATTTTCTTTCTGGTACTGAGCATAGCTATAATTTTTTTTTTAATTCTTGTCTAGTAATTCCAACATATGGAATTTTCTCTATTGTCTTTCCCCCAGCCCTTTATTATTTATTTTGATAAATGAACAATTCTCAGAGAGTTGTGTTTTTTTTTAAATTCGTTTGCCTACAAAGTTTGTGTACATTGTGTTTCACACTATTCCTCATTCATACTGTGTTTCATGCATTCATTCTCATGCATTAAGTTTTATAAAATTAAACACCATTAGACTGTTTTTCTGATAATATGTTCTACATTTTCCCTGCTTCTTCACATGTGAAGTAGTCTGAGTTGTATTCTGGACATTGTTAACTCTATTCTGCTTATATACTGGATTTTAGTATGATGCTCTGAGGAGGGTTTTATGGTGGGTAAGTAGGGAGATATGAAGCAATTAACTTAGTTGGATTGGACATAATGGCAAACTGTTACCTGGACATGTAACTCAGTTATATTGTCCTTATCAGGGCTGTTTTGAATTTGCCTCAGCCATGTGTGAGGTGAGCAAAGTTTACAAACAGAAATTAAGATACCTTCAATCTGAATTTCTTCTTTCAGAAATTAATTTTCAGTGATTGTGGTTACTCTAAATTCTGCACACTGGTTTTCAGGCCATTGAAACTATTGATTACCGTGATGCAGACCTGCCTTAAGGTTGAAAAAGTGATAAACACTCTACATAATTCTAAAATTCTTAAACAGTTTTTAAAAAATTACTTATGGAGAGTTTTAAGAATTTTTTACCTGAGAAAATCTCTCTACTAGAAACTTACTTAGAGTAACCCTTTTGATTACAGTGCTTTTAAATATGCTCTGGCCTATGGGAAGCAAGTCCTAATTTCATCTAGCCTCTACATCTTCTGGTTCCTAACCTCTACACGATAACAGACAAAGTGCTAGTCTATAGGCCTTTTATTGTAAGAACCACCTTACCTCTGTAACTTGATTTGTGCCACTATTAGAACTTCTCCTCGGAATATTATTGCTTTTCAATTTTTGACTCATGCACTTTTAACTTCTTAGTTAAATTTGTATCTTTTAGGCTGCAACACTTCCATGATATATCTTCAACGATATGAACATGTACGGCTAAGCACAGTTGATAACAGTGCATCTAAATTCCAAAATCAATCTCCATAATAGTCTATGTGTTTCCTACTGCCAAAG